GTATGTTCTTGGATTTTTTGGAATTTCATGGCTTTACCTCGAGCTCATTGTTCAATATTTGCCGAATGGAATATTGCGATATGCTCAGATTACGAACCATTTTCGGCCACTGCGACGCTGGTTTCGATCAAGTCGCTTCTTTCATTTTCGAAACATTTCTGCTGATGTTGCTGTTTTCTTCCGTGCTGGAGTGCTCTAACAATAGTCACTTGTGGTTTTCCAGCCAAATATAAAGAAATCGCATTATCACGCTTGAATTCCATCACGAAAAACTCTTTTTCTAGAAAATTCTCACCAAAATGCTTTTGAACGCTTGTAAACAATATAATGAGCTGTCAATGAAATAATTTTAACAGCTGTCGGGCTAGTGGCTTAGAAATAACAGCAGTTTGAAGTTGGTTGCAGATTTGCATCTCACCTTGTATATACATTTTGGGATCTCCGACGTATATTTCGAGGTGTTACAATCTGAATGACGAATTGAACATACCCTCCATTGCATAGTGGAGGGCATACAAATGTTGACCGTTTATGGTGGAGGTAAAATCGAAACAAAAATATATTTTCTTAATCCTGTACTTATAGATATTTTCCTTTTTTGCGCCCAGTTTCAGATGAATCTAAATTTGGTATCACCCATGGTACAATGATATCAAGGTAGGGCTATGATACCATATTATTTTAATTTTTTATTTTCTTGGCTTAATATGTCATCTTTATTTGTTTATGTATGTGTTTTCTTTTCAATAACAAAAAAATTGTTCAGAAAATTTGGGTGTTTTCAAAATGTTTATATATTGTCTCAAATGTCCCAAAAAAGTGGACCTTAATTAGACGTTTCCTATGGAAAAAAAAAAATAAAACTTATGACAAAGATTAAATTTGTTACTGGTTTCATAAAACTTCCTTGTAATTTTCTATAGAAATAACTCACTTTTTTTTATTTACTCGCGGATGGTTAACATCCTCTCAATTGTAGTTCAACACACGTAAGCAGCATTTTGACATTTTGGGTTAAAATGATTATGAATTACTGCATAAATTCTTTTTTAAAAATCTATATCAAAAATCGCTTATTCTTACATCTCATCGCTCAAGTTGCTCACATTAAAGGCAGCTTACTAATCCCCTACAAAAAAGAACCTCCCATTTTGTTCTTTACCACCAAATCAACAACGTCATCCAATTTTATATGAGCCATAAATATTTACGTTTAACTTGACCTCGAAAAATTCTTCTTTTTAGCTGAAGAATTGCATCATGAGCAGCACAACACATGTTCCATCATCAGAATGTGCGAAATCGTAAACAATGGATATCCGTCTTAAGATTTGTATGAATCATGGCAACTCAAAAATGTTTTAAACAAAAAGGTTAATATCTTCTTTAGGTCTCTTCACAATTTTCCATAAAAAAACTAAATCCCTATGAAATTTTAAATATGAAAAGGTAATTACCCTTGTCACTTATTTGCTATGCCTACATCCAACGATTTTTTTAAGAAGCTTAACTTCTTAATCTGTAATTATGTTAAAGTGTAGGTAAATTTGCATTTAATATGGTTAATAAAAGTGTAAATACACGTTTATATCCTGAGGCAGTAGTTCAATGTATTTACACAGGCTTACGCTGTTCAAACAGATATGTGGAAGTTTTGCTCTTTTATTCGCCACTTGAGAGTATATCTTGTCAAAAAAAAAAAAATAATAATAATAGTAATAATAATAAAGCCGCACATTCCAATTCATATGAATGTCATAAGGAACAAAAATCGAAATATAGAAAAGTTTTATGGGGTACCAAATTTAGCTTAAGAAAAGGATCAATATTGCTCGAGCGTGAGTACCGATTGTTTGCCACGCTATTTAGAATTAATGTGAATGGAAAGTGTGGGGCTCAATCTCATGAATCAAAACTCTGTTCTACATCCTCATATAAAAACATTTGTTTCTGGCATTTTCTCTTGATTATCTGATGACCCCGAGTTTGTCTTTCCGTTATGCACTAGACAAGTTTTATTTCATAAAAACTAAAATATCGATCAGATTTTGGGGATATAAAAAATTTATTATCGTGTAAAAGGTGTAAAAGGTCAATCAACTCAAAAATTGTGAATAATTAGGACAATTTTCAAAACAAATTATTAACAGAAAATGGTAAATTTTCTAAAAATATTTAAAAACAAGTAAGCAAAGGCTATAGTCGTGTATGAGCGACCATGTGATACCCTACAACACTACGATATGTTATATTATTATGCTCCCTTACGTCCAAATCCATTTTGGAAGATTTCGCTCTTGAAATTACGTGTAGATCTTATCCTTAGCTCTTTGACCAGGGTCATTTGCCCTATATTTATGCACTCCGTCGTGCTGTTAGTTGTTGTGGTCCTGTCTTTAACTCTCTTCTTATGCGTGTCGATTGGCTTCAATTGTGTGATCAGGAGATTTTTCTAAATATTTTACGATCATCACCAAATTTAGACTCATCTATATGATTTGCTTGTCTACGATATTTGGCTATATTCATCAACGAAATCAGCATTAAAAAGCCTTTTTTGTATTTTGGATATTACCTGTATTTTTTTTTTTAGTGGTTCGGTAGAATGGAAGTGTTGGTATATGTTTTGACCTTTATAACGGCTGCAAAATCAGCAACATTTTTATTTGTTGGTCCATTTCAACTCCTCAATGTATTGCGGACATCTTTAAAAACAATAGGCCTAGCCCTTCTGATTCTAACCCTATATATATGAATTTTCGTGAGGATCGGACTATAACTGATATCTGTATATAATAAACCCAACCTGTGTTTTTGGGTATAAAAAATATTACAAAATTTAGATTTCAATATTATAAGTTAAATTGAAAAAATCGCATGCGATAAAAAATATGAAAAACTAAAAATAATCCCAAAATACTAAAAAAATTATATTTACATCATTATTGGGTATAATTATATTTACATCATTATTGGGACATACATAGCTTGATCGACTCAGCTTGGCTAGATAGGAAGATCCATATATACTTTCCTATGTGAGAAACCAATATTTCGAGGTGTTACATAATTTTTGGCCCAATCAAACTTAGAATACCCCCAACACATAGTGTTGTAGGGTATAAAAATCGAAAATTCTTAGAAATTGTTTTCAAAGTAATCATGGACAAAACTTTTGAATTGTTAGGGAAATTTTCGAAAGACATTCTGACCAGAAAACAACGGATTTCTTAAAAACAGTTTTCACAGAGTCGTAATTATTCAGAAGGTATTTGAAGAACATTATTTAAATATCAAGAACAAAAATCTGAACAAAACTCCTAGATAACATAAGTAGTGTATTTTTAAGAATAGAGTTACAACGTCAATGTAGACAAAAATTAGGAATTTTGAAAAAAAAAAAAACAATATTTCCAGAAAATAATGAATTTTTTAAATATATTAAAAAAAGAACAAAATCGAAAATTTTTTGGAGTTGTCTTCAAAACAATCATGGGCAAAAATGTTGAATTAATGGAAATTATTCGAACGACTTTCTTCCCAGAAAATTATTCAAGGAGATTTTGAAAAAATTTGTTATTGAAAATTTTATGGATTTCGAAAAAAAAAAAAAAAACATTAGGTGTTGTTAATATTAACTGTGTGAAAAAAATATAAAACATAATAATAATATTTATATATGGTAATGAAAAAATCCCTATGAATGCATATAAACTTATAAGGTGGTGGACTTATGGTATGTATCTGCCAAAAAAAAAATATTTGAAGGTTAGTGTAAGGTCCTTTAAAAATCATCAAAAATCAAAATTAATTAACTGGTCAAAAATTTTGGTTTTCAAAAAATTCTGGATTTTGATAGTGTTATTTTTAATCCCACTAGATTGGATGTTTACTATAAATATTCATTCTGGATACATATAAAAGGATGAATTACAATAGAAGGCTAAAATTTTGCACACATATCTATTTTGTCAGTAGGCTGGTTAAGTTCGTAAATGTTCGTAAATAAAAATGCCCCGTATATAACGGCACCTTCCCATAATCGTTATTTTCATATTTTAGAGACATTTTTTTACCGGAATTGCTTCAAAGTGCGTTTTTAAAGTTCGTACCTATTATGTTGACAAAAAAATCGTATAGACCTCATATAACGATACCTCCCGATATTTGATATTTTTACGATTTTAGCGGCATTACTCACAGGAATCGTTTAAAATTTCGCATTAGAAGTTCAGAGTCGGTACTACAGCCTATGACAAAAAAAAATTCTTCTCAAGGAACAGGTCTTCGTACTGCCTGCATTTTTTTTTCTTTGAAATTTTTCAAGTTTCTTCAAAATTGTGGAGGACATTAAAAGTTTGGCCAGACTTAGCTGTTTTTTACTAGTTTTACTAAATTTGGATTTTTCCTAAATTTGTATGAATTTTTAAAATCAGTCCAGGTATTCTTGGGTTATACGCATAGTAACTTACATCACCTTTTTTATAAATATGGATAAAATAACATTTCTCTTGGATCTGTATACATTTGTGCCGACATATCGGATGAAACCTCTGTTTATATCTCTGACGAAACTCTTTGCATGGAGAAAACACACTGAATTTATATTTAAGGTATTTGTTTGTTTCTTTTTTTTAGAGATATATATATATTTATGGTATTTTTCCCTTAGGCGCTTTGAAATGTCAGATTTTTATAAATTCATGTTAATCGTGTATTTTATGCATGCCAGTGGGACAGATCTTTTAATTAGAACTATTTAAAATTTCAAGAATATTTAAAAGCCCATGAATATGCTAATGCACATAAATATTGAGCAACCCAATCTAGTAACGCTCGTGTCTTAAGTCTTTTGTTTTAATGGTCTTTGTAGGTTCATTGGCTTAGTATAAAAAATTTGATTTCTTTTTTAAATACCTTTGGAGTTCAATATTAAGAATTAGAGATCATTTTTTTGTAATTTTTTATATTTATTAACTTTACTAAGAAATTACCAACAACTAAAAATTAAAGTTCATAATAACGTCTCGAATGCAAGCATTATTCGCAAATAATGCCAGCACTACTTGTCGCCTAATACTCAGTCTTCGTAACACTATCATGGGGGGAGGGCGTGTAATGTCAACCATTCAATTCCATTCCTTCCTGGCTTTTTAGTAGAAGAATCTGTTGGCTGGGACATTGTAATGATATCCATCCTCTTGCAATTCATTGCCGAATTCTTCCTCCAAAGGAGCAGCGTATGAGGGTATGGGAATTTTGAATGTAGGTTTGGATACAGCAGGTGTCAAATACTGGGACTTGGTGGGTTTGGGTGGCAAGTATTCCGTTTTAATGGGTTGGGGTGGCAAATAGCCGGTTGTAGGAGGCAAATAGGTTGGCTTGGGTGGTGTAGGAGGCAAGTACGTCGGCTTGGGTGGTTCTGGAGGCAAGTAGGTGGGCTTGGGTGGAGTAGGTCTACGTGTGGTCGTAGTGGTTGTTGTTACTGGCTTGGGAGGCAAATAGGTTGGTTTGGGTGGTGTGGGTGGCAAGTAGGTTGGTTTAGGTGGTGTGGGTGGCAAGTAGGTGGGCTTTGGTGGTGTAGGCGGCAAGTAGGTTGGTTTAGGCGGTGTGGGTGGCAAGTAGGTTGGTTTAGGTGGTGTGGGTGGCAAGTAGCTGGGCTTTGGTGGTGTGGGTGGCAAGTAGGTTGGTTTAGGTGGTGTGGGTGGCAAGTAGGTGGGTCTTGGTGGGGTTGGTCTGCGTGTCGTTGTTATTGGTCTTGGAGTTGTAGTAGTTGTGGTCGTTGTTGTCGTGGTAGTTGTTGTGGGTTCAGGTGGCAAATATGTAGGCACTGGTTTGGGTGGCAAATATGTTGGCTTTGGTGGTGGTGGAGGCAAGTAGGTAGGTTTAGGTGTCGCAGGAGGTAAATAAGTTGGCTTTGGTGTCGCAGGAGGCAAATAAGATGGCTTTGGTGGTGGTATGGTTGTCGTGGGCAATACAAATGGTATCTCCGGCTTAGGATAATCATAACCGCTATGGTTTTCTATTTCCTTATGTGAGTAATCGTATCCATGATTATCATGATGATGATGATGGTGCTGATGATCAGCATGGTATCCGTGGTTGTTAAACAAATGTGAAACGTCGGCTCTCACAAATGCCGCACAGGCCAGCAGCAGCACAAATATTTTCTAAAATCAACAACAAAAAATAAATTTTTATTTAAATCAAGAATTTCTTCCATCGCCCGAAACGAAATATTAACATACCATTTTTAATTCGTATCCCCAAGAACGAAATGTGTATTTCTACGACACGTTTCTGTCGCTGTGGACGGTTCAGAGCGAAATGATATCTTTTGTTGAGTAGTTATTCTTATTTATAGTTCAGTCAGAAATCCAAGCGAAAAAAATACAGATTAAATGTTCTTTTTTCTTTTTTTTTTTTTGTTCAGTCATAGCTACATGGCGATAGCGTTGTTGCTGGCAATAAAGAGCGTAGATCTGTTGCTAGCTGTTGTTGCTGGTGTTAATATTACTTGTGTTATATATTCTCAGCGTTTTTTTTTTCATCTTCTACTGAACAATTAAACAGCCTTTTTCATATTATTCCGTTGTTGTTTTTTTTCTTCGCCATCAACATCATCAGCTTTTGACCAGACCAGACCATATTTAAGAGAATTACGAGCCAAGCTAGATACTTGTCAAAATGTTATGTTGTAGCCTGCTACAATTGAGTGATACGATGTCGGGCCGTAGGTAAGTCTGTCTGTCTATCTGTCTGTTCATTTATGCGTCACAATGAATTTTGGCTTCAATGAACATCGCCACTTATCGCTTTAGTCAGCCAGCCATAGCCACCACAAATCATAAGAACATCTCCATTCAACGAATGTTCACACACACACGCACACATTATGGTGCTAATATCTTGTCTTATATATTTCATTTTTAATTAATTTTCAAACTCACCTATATTTTGGCACATTTTTTTGTTGTTGTTGGTGTTATATTTCATTTGGGTTCTTTTCTACCTTAAGGTTTATGGCATAATTTATGGTGAGTTCAAAATTAAAATTTTTTACAAAAAAAAAAAAAAAAAACATTTTATGCTTCAGAGAATTTTCAATCTGATATGGATAACTTTAAATATTTCATGATTTATCTATTAACACATATCCCTTTGTGGGAAAAAAGGGTGTTATTGAAATTTTGATGGAAATGTTAAACATGTGAGAGAGATGGTCACCGATTCGAAAATAGTTTGTAACAACTCGAAATATTCATCCTTGACACAGGATCTCACAAAGGAGAGTGTGTCCGTTTGCTCGTCCATATTAATTGGTAATGACGCTACAGATTGCAATTGTGGCCCGATCCCCAGAAAATGCAGTGTGGAGTTGGAGTTAGGCTCAAAATTGAAGTATATTGTTTTGGGATAGGGGTAAAATGGACCTTTCCTGACTTTGAAGTGGCTCCACAGGTCACCATTTTTGACTAATCGATGCAAAATTTTACACAGGGTAGAAGCTGAGGTCAGGGTAGAAGCTCACAAATTTTGATGGTCATCTGATAATGCTAAGAGGATGAAATTGACAATAACTTTTGTGTAAAAAACACCTATATTTCTATTAAACCGCGATTATTTTAACCCCAACGAAATCACAAATACATGAAAAGGTCATTTTCGACGATTACTTTAATAATGGTGCTCAGGATATTGCATATTTAGCCAGATATGTACAGTCTATAGAGAGAGAAAACTATGTTAGTATATACCCATATAACTCGAAAACTGGTATTTGGTTGCTGATACCAGATACAGCCGAGAAATACTTCTGTAAACTTTTATCAAGATCGCTTCATATTTGGATATATCTCCCATATACAGGGAGAGATGAAAAAACTGCAACCAACTTCAGACTGCTGTCATTTCTAAGCCACTCCTACGACAGCTGTTAAAATTATTCCAGTGACAGCTCATTATATTGTATATAAGCGTACAAAAGCATTTTGGTGAGACTTTTCCAGAAAATAAAATAAGTTATTCGTGATGGAATTCAAACGTGATAGTGTGATTTCTTTATATTTGGCTGGAAAACCACAAGGGGCTATCGTTAGAGCACTCCAGCATTTAAATGTGAATAAATCTTTTGCATCTCGCACCATCCGTGATACTGGTAGCGTTGCCCTACGTCAAGAAAGTGAACGGAAGAAAACAGCAACACAAGCGGAAATAATTCGAAAATTAAGAAGCGACTTGATCGAAACCCGTGTAGCAGAGGCTGAAAAATGGCTCGTGATCTGAACATATGCCAATATTCCATTTGGCAAATATTGAAAAATGAGCCATTGAAATTCCAAAAAGTGCAAGAACTGACACCGCAACAGAAAGAAAATAGACTCAATAGAGCTAAAAAGTTACTTGGCTTGGCCGAAAGTGGTGAACTGCCGAATTTGGTTTTCTCCGTCTCCGATGAGAAAACATTCGTTGTCCAGCAGTTTGTAAACAAACAAAATGATCGTGTTTACTTGCCAAGGAGGTCAGCTGAAAATGTGCACCTTCGGTTGGCCACTAGGCCACCAGAACTCAAGCGTCGGCCATGGTGATGGTGTGGGCCGCCATAACAGCCGATGGTCGCACTCCGCTCGTATTAATCAACCGTGGCATCAGAATAAATCCTGAATATGAACGCGAAACTATTCAGAAGGGTGCATTAAAGCCTTGGGCACGGAAATATTTTGGTCGCAGACCTTGGAGGACTCAGCACCATCACACTCAGCTCGCGCCACTCAAGAATGGTTACAAAATGAGGTTCCTCGCTTTATTTTCAGCGTACAATGGCCACCAAAATCTGCGGATACCAATCCATTGGACTATTGTGTCTGGAGCATTTTGGAAAGCACGGTTGGCACTAAGGAATACCAAATTGTCGATCACCTCAAGTAAGGCCTTCGCCGGGAATGGGCTAAAATAACGCAGAGCAACATTCGGGCAGCGTGTGACGATTTCATTGGCCGTTTGAAGACCATAATTCCTTCAAACCTTCACTAATTCTAAAATTTGATGCTATTTCCCACATTTTTTGCTTTTATTCAAAATATTAAAAACAAATAAGCAAAAGCTATAGTCGTGCGGGCCGACCATGTGATACCCTACAACACTACAATATGTTCGAAGTCCCCTTTTATCCAAATCCATTTTGGAAGATTTCGTGTTTGAAATAATATCAAAAAGCCCAGAGGTTACCCTTAGTTGTTTGACCCGGAGAATTTGACCAATATTTACGCAATCCGTAGTGTTGTTAAGTATTGAAGTATGTGGTCCATTTTACAGCTAAATATAATCCAATGGTCAACCAAAATGCTAGACTTCTTCCCTGTCCTTAACTCTCTTCCGATGCGAAATTTCGTGTCGATTAGTTTTCAATTGTGGCCAATAGAGCGACTACAAAATTAGAAAAAAAAAATAAATTTCTTAAGTACATTTGCACCTCTAAATGTACATCTTAAGAACAATAGGCTTTAATTCTGACCCTAACCCTACCCCCATGCACAATTTCCTGAGGATAGAACGATAATTGCGATATGCATATAATACTCTCAAAACGTAGTGTTGGGCAGTGTAAAAATATAGAAAATTTACATTTCGAAATTTTAAGTCAAATTAAAAAAAATCGCATACGATAAAAAATATGACAAAAATTGAAAAAAATCGGTAAAAGATATTTGTCCGATTACCGCCCAAATTAGTAGGTTTCTGCCTTCTCTAACTTCATGTAAATTTTCGCGTCGATAGGTTGATAATTGTGGCCTATAGAGCAACTGCAAAAACAGGAAATTTTTCTGTTTTTGGTCCTTTTCAACCCCTAAATATCGTGCGATCATCTCCAAAAACAATAGGGTTCTATTCTGACCATAACGCACCTCTATTTTCAATTTCGTGAGGATCGGTTCATAATTGCGACCTGTAGCTTGATTACAAATTTACATGGACGGACGGACATATAGAGCTAGATCTACTCAGCTAGGCGAATTAGGATGATCCATATATACTTTCCTATGCGAGAAACCAATATTTCGAGGTGTTACATAATTTTTGGTCCAATCAAACTTTTAATACCCCCAACACATAGTGTTGTAGGGTATAAAAATGTAAAAATTATGGCGCTTGACTTTGTTGCAGTTTTTTATCTCACCCTGTAATAATGTCCAAATGTAATATGGTATTTTGTCAAAAATATTAAAAACATCGCCTAGTTTTTTGCATTTATTATGGAGCAAACAAATCAGATTCGGATTTTTTATCATTTTCAACTACTTCTAATGGAATAATTACATGTTCACAAATGATTCGCTTTACATATAATATAAATTCATTTATTGTATTTTTAAGATCATCGTCAACCGACAACACCCTTTTAAAATTTTGCACCTCTGCTTGTAAGATAAAACATAAACGTTCGTTGAATTGGGATTTAACGTTTCCCTTTGCTAAACGGTCATTGATCCCAATTGAAGGTATTTCAAAAACCTCTCCTATATACCAACATTTACGAATTTCCGCACCTATGCATGTTCAATTAATTCATTTAAACTACAATTTTTCAAATAATTACTAATTATTTTTGTTTTCATTCAAAAAAAGAAAAAAAAACTTCTGGAGATTTTGAAAAAAAACTTTCCTTCTCTTTTTCAATGTTGTTCACTTGCTGTAGTTGTTGTTGTTGTTGTTGTTGTTTTCAATTCCAGCTAATATTTCCGTTTCTTGGAGTTCTCTTCATTTACTTTGACTCGAAACAGCAGTGTCTGTTTCGACTGTTGTTAAACATAGTTTTAGTTCCGTTCTGTTAACAATTGTTGAACATTAATAATTGGTTATTAACCAAAACAAACGACCAGAGACGTAGCAACATGATGCGAGCAAAAAATACAAAACCGAAACCCGAGGCCTATGCTGGTAATGCTTACTAGTCAGTTTTTTTGAAAGGTGTTAACAAAGCTCGCTTATTATGAAGGCGGTGTGAACGTCGATGATTTTGGGGTGTGTGAGTGTGATCGAACAAAAGACTTAAGACACAAACTCAAAATTGACTGAGATGTTTGTTTATCCTCGCCCATAATGAAATGGTATTAACACTTTGATCGATTATTGTTATCATTATTATTTGTTTGTGTTGCGTGTCTGATTCCATAAACGTTTCCAAATGGATAACTTTAACTTATTTTTAGAATTCGATCATTAATCCATCGTCGAGGGAATTCCATTCAAATTATTCTGTTCGGAATTTGAGTTTTTTTTTTCTTCTGTGTAAGTATCGATATCAATAAATTTTGATGAAAAATTTATGTAGATAATTGCTTCCTCAATTCGACGTTTTGAGTTAATAG